TCTCTCTCTCTCTCTCTCCCTCCCTCTCTCCCTGTCTCTGAGTCTCCGTCTCTTCGCGGCCAAGCGATAAACCGTGCGTCTGTTAAAGAGTGGCCTCCATTTTGCGCAGCAACCGCTGCGCCTGAGCTCGCCGATCTACGGGGGCAGGAATCATCGCCGATGGTGTGCCCTGTGCTCGTTGCCCTTGCGGCCTGAGTCGTGTCCTCGGTCTCACTCGTCGCCCTCCTCCATCATCTCCATCTGCCGCCCGTGGTTTGGGTACGTAATCGGAGTCCCCTGCATCATCAGTGCCTGTGGTCTCTCCCGGGGCGACATCTGTGCTGTCGTCGTGGACAATAAGTACACTGCCGCATCTCTTCTGACCTGCCACTGCATTCCATGTGCCCTCCCTGCCGACGATATCCGCCGTCGTTGCATCCCTCCCTCCAACATCCAATGCGTCGCCGTCAGGTGCAATCTCTCCGTCCTCGAGATGCACAACGCCCGATCCTCTCTCTCGGGAACGCATATGTGAGGATGAACGTGACGCTTTCCTTGCCGAGGCCTTCTTCCTTGCCCGAGAAAGACTCGCCTTTGCGGCTCTCGTAGCATGGACATCAGACGTCTTCGTCGGCAAAGCACTCCCGTGTYGGTCCTCAAACTCGGCCATGGCGGTGTGCCGAGCACCATCCACACTCCCAATGGATCGTTTCCCCATAGACGGTGCAGATGGCCTACCAACATTCCGGACTCCCTGCTCATCCATCSCCCCARTACTCTTCCCRCTGGCATAAAATGCCACTGTCGGCAAAACAGTGGCTCTGTCGCGCCGTGCTGTTGCCGATGACCCAACCACAAGCTGTTCTGTCGCGTCTGCGCCACTGTTTGTGACSGGGACGCCCSCATCTGCGCCGACARCCGCGGCAATCGGATGATGCTCTAAGTTTGACGGCGGACTTGGGGGTCTTGCTTSTCTTTCMAGTGTGTCAACTGGCCCACCATGAGACCCTTCCTCTGCGCCGTCAAACGAATGAGAAAGACTGCGTTGTGCGATGCTGCGCTGACCATCGCGGCGGTGTCGCGTCGCCGTCTCCGCCAAAGCAAGGGCCACCTCGCGTAGTTTGCCAACACGAAAAATTGTGGGCGTGGCAGACACCATTGGGCTCGTAATCATATCGGCAATATCGCCTCCTGCCACGTCAAACCAGTCCGATCCACGCTCAATGACAACAGGCTGTTGTGGCTTGGGCGGTGACACATGGGGTAGACCTGGGGATATCAACGTCGACAAGTCCGGTAGAGAAACGAGCACAGAGTCCGTGGTCAGTAACTCGCCGGTACGCGGAAGACTGCCGGTGGGGCATGCGAGGCCGACAAGGTCTGTGGCGCTCTGCTCGGCTGCGGGAGTGTGTGAGATATCACGTTCCGGGAGATCGTCGCCTTGACACACAACAACGGTCCCCTGACTCCCCTCCATCAATGGAGGCGGTGGCCGCGGTTGAACACTGCGAGGTGGGAGCATACTTTCTTGCTCCGCCGCTGCCAGTGGTTGTCCCACATCCGAGGTCGCTGCAACTGAGACTGCCGCTTCGGCAGACGTGAGTGGATGCAGTGCCTTGACAGAACCCTCGTCCCGCACTGCCGGG